GACTTTGCAACAACAATCAGTCAGCGAGCCAGAGAGCATCTCTGAGCTACAACACCAATGCTAGCCGCGCTGGAACATCCATCAGCGTGGGCTGTCAGGAAATGCTCTGAACGACGGGGAAACGGCTTTTCGTGGGTCTAATAGCTTCGCTGCCTCCCTGAACCTGGTGTGTTTACAGGACATGGATCTTGTCGTCAGGAAATCAGAATGAAACAGCGATGTGAAGCAATCTAGTGCCCACATATCAAAAACAATATTTCAGAAAAGATTCTCTCCCATGGGGCTTCACAAGATAAAAAATCAGGGCATGCGAACAGGAAAATGAAGGACAGTAATGGGGCGCAGGGAGAAGGGCGAATGCAGAGAGCAAACGCAAGCACCCTGGTAGCGCTCCTGCATCAAAACACAAGAAAGGTACGATGCGATGGCATGCCATTCCACGTTCCTAGTTCATTTGCTTTTTAATCAAAATGGCTCTCCAAATTCCTACTGAAATAAAACTGTACTCAGTCCCATTCTGCTCACTACACCTCTAAATAGAAACACCAACTAGAAGAAAGATGAAGGAATGCCAAGTCAGGGAGCCCAGAAAACTTATCAGACAAGAAATCGCTCTAAGACTTGAGGCACGGATAGGAGACCTGAGAATTATCATGAAATGTGAGTTGAGAAGCTACTGAGGAAAACCCACCTGCTTAGGTGTTGGGAAATAACACCACAAACCCAAGCACAAAAAACTGAGAGCCAGGGACTAGGGGAGAAGACAGCTCAGACAGCAAGGAAAGGAGTGTGGACTTTTACAGCATGGGGGCGGATGTGACAGGGTAGGAGGGATATTAGGAGTACAGGGTAGTGGGAATCAGTGATTACAGCAGTAGGCGGGTGCCAGGGATACATGGCCGCAAGGGATTGGTGGATAGGTTGACAGGGAACAAAATTGGGCATGGAACTAATGAGTCAGAAGCTGAAACATAAGGGGTTTGAAAGCCTAAGGGAAATAGAAACTGAAACTTAAGGCTGAAGTCTAAGGGAAAGGACTAATGAAAGTGATAGTGGGTCTAAAATGGTGGGAGTCTCATCAATCTTCAGGGCTCATGTTCACACTGGGTTTCAGCAGACATGCTCCTTCATGATGGGCTAAGAGACACAGCAAATTCTCTCTGTGTGACCTCTGGGGAAACTAGGAAGCAATCTGTAAGATCTTGACTTCCTTTAAGATGTATCATTTTGTCACTTCAGAGTAGATCACTAGAGGGGAGAATGTGCCACTTAGAATTCACATCTGCATCTTGGCTTAACTGAATCATTCTATGTTACTGCAGAGGGAAGAACTGTAAAATTTTGACTCAATTTAACAACTTTCAACAAAGTTGGGCAACAATGAAACCACCTCCAGAAACAACAAGATACATTCCAGTAGATGCTGAAGACTAGCAACTGGGTAAGAAGCTGAACTACATGACTGTTCATTGTGTCCAACCCTGAGACCCTTCAGAGCCAACTGACTGAATGCCTGTGCTTCACATTCTCTTCCCCTTGTCTCACTGGTGCAAATCAACTGTTCCAGGATCTCAGATCTTTGTGTTAACATCTCCTGTGAAGCATGCATGTTAGTGACTTCTGCGCATGCTCAGCTTCATGGTCAAGGTTTGATTTGACTCCAGTGCATTTATATGCTGGATGGTACCCACTCTGGTTATCCTAAACACTGCTGTTTGGAACAGATCCTTGGGAAAGCTTCCAAAAAAATGGAAAGACTTCAAATAACCTTGTATTCAGTGATGAGACAAATAAAGAAGTTGATATTAATCCTTTTACTAGGTACTGATACACATTCAGAGTTCACACACACTATCTCAATATTCTCATTTTCATTTTACAAATAAGGGATCTTGAGATCCTAGGGGTTAGTACTTCACACCATGAGGCCTGATTTAGCAAGAACCCAAGTCTGAGCTCAGACACTGGTTTGGATCAATCATACTCTACCATAATGATTTTCTAAGTGTGGTCCCCAGAAAGGCAGCTGCAAAGCACTGTAAAACTTACTAAAAATGTCAAGTCTCACACACAGGCAATCAGAATCTTTGGGGTGCAGAATCCAGTGTTCTGCTCTTTTAATGAGCCCTCCCAGTAAGTCCAGTGTTTACTGAAGTTTGGGGACTAGTGCTCCACTGAACTGACAACTTGTCTACCAGGCTGCATCCTACTCACTTAACCAAATTTGTGTTCACAACTTGGAGAAGTCACAGCAGCTCCTTCATCTTTCCTCAGTGACAGAAAGAGACACCTCAGATTTCCTGTCCACCCAGGAGATGGGTCAGAGGTTTGTTGCTTTGAAACAGCAATGGGAGAAAGGAGGGAACAAACACTTCTTCACCGTAGCTCAGTGGTCAGACATGAACACCTACAGACCAAGAAAACCTGAAGCTCCCCTGCAGACATTCTGTAACAAATAATATTTAAGAGCTACCTAGCCAAAACACTTAAACATCATACATGCAGACTGTTTTAAAAGGAAAATAAATCCATTTAGTTTTTGCTCTATCAATACATGAATGGGAAGCATGTGGGTTACCCTCTATGACATAGTCAATGGCAGTCATAACAAGATCTCTTTGGTTTAAAAAGTAAAGCTCCTTTATTTTATTATTCATGCTGCCTAGAATGTGCCCTTGGTCTTTCTCCAGCTTAACTGAAGTCTGTAGCACTGAGCAACTCTGCAAATCAGTCTATAATCTCTTTAATATCTTCCTGCACGTGCAGTTTTAAGGATCAGCCATTGCTGCGTAAGCCGCCCTTTACCTCAAGGTCTCTGACGACACTGGTGGCAGACACACATAACGTTTTCACAGGGAAACAGAAATGACTTTACTTCATATGTGCCTGAACACACTTGCACAAAAGCTAAAACAAGCACATTTCACCTGGAAATCTTGAGGAAAAAAAAAGTTCCTACACTTTGCTGTATCGTCCAAGGGTGCTCCCAGGTGTCTGGCTCAGTGATCAGACCTTTCCTGTAACTGGTCAGCCGCTCCTTCAGTAAAGGTGCTGTACAGACCACAGTTAATGCTCCTTCTCAGAAAATCAAGGGCAAATGGACATCACTTACACCATGCTCCGAATCCATCTCCCCATGGCCACCTGCACTGAGGAGGACAGTGGGTCTCCCACATTCTCCATATGCTCTGTCTTACTAGTAGAATCCCTATTTGAAGATTTCTCTTAACTGTCCAGCAAAAACTAGAGCAGATTTTAAACAAAACCACTAAAACACAGACTCTGCACATTTCAGTAACTCAGGATATAAAACAAAAGCCTAAGATGGGCTGAAAGAAATTAGTTTGATCTATGAGAATGACCCCTTCCTTCCTTTCTTCATTTACTCATTTATTCAATGTTAACAGAAGAAAAACATATGCCAGGAAGTATCTAGAAAATGTCAAGCGGCTCCATGTGTCCTCCCTGAATGCCCCCAACAAAAAGACGAGAGGAAATGGACTCGGAGTGAAGCAGAATAATTTCGCTGACGTGAGCGAAAACGCTGGGTGATTACATTACTGGAACGCTCTCCCGGGGAAGCGTCTGGGTAGACAGCAGAGGGCAATGCCGGCCCTGAGCAGTCTGGTCAAGCACCTATCTGCTTGAAAGCAGTGGTCAGGACCTCTGGAGGCTTCTTCCATCTGTGGCTCATAATTGCATCCTCAGGAAGAAGCTAAACACAAACCGACCTCTGCCAAATGTCTTCTCTGCCCCATGTAGAAAAGCCACCAAAACTCCCACTGAGTAACTGGAGTCCTCAGCAAATCAGACAAAAGGAAATACTTGTCTGTTTCCATAGGCACTGGCTATTTTGTGTGCAAACAGCCTAATGAAGTTTCAATCTCATTCACAGCTTCAGGAATATAAGGGTTATATGCAAAGGAAGTGGATTTACCGCAAATTTACATGAAAATTCCTAATGCTGCTTATCCAACATACAGTTTGATGAACTGGACACCTGCTCTGGTAGCTAAAAATATCTACATCTCACTTTGAAGGACCTGGGCTCAAACCTCCACGCTTACCTGAGATTCCACTTTCCTACTAACCAGCAGCCTGGGAGGCAGCAGTGACAGCTTAAGTCTTTGGGCCACCTACATGGCAGACCTGGATGGCATTCCCCGCTCTCAGCCCGGGCTCCCTGGGCCACCCACACGGGAGACCTGGATGGTATTCCCCACTCTCAGCCCGGGCTCCCTGGGCCACCCACACTGGAGACCTGGATGGCATTCCCCGCTCTCAGCCCGGGCTCCCTGGGCCACCCACACGGGAGACCTGGATGGCATTCCCGGCTCTCAGCTTGGGCACCTTGCTGTTTCCAGCACTTGCAGAGTCGACCTATTGATTGGAGTATGCTCCATCTCCTGTCTTTCAAGTCAATTCTAATTTTTAAAAAGACTGATGGATAGAAAAAAAATGGATGGATACATGACAGATGAACAGGTGACCGATAGTAACAGGTAGCCAGATGACAGTTAAATGAAAGGGTAGGTAGAAAGAGGCTTGGATACACTTTTTCCCTCAAAGGTTCATGTGTCAGGAGCATGGTCCTCTGTGTGCGGGTATTGGGAGATGGTGCAGAACATCTAAGAGGTGGGACCTACTGGGAAGGGACGAGGTCACTGAAGATAGTTTCGGAAGGAGCTGTCATTCTCATGGGATCCTGTTTAGTTGTACTGAAGGGGTTAGAACACTGAGCCCGGCCTCTCCTGAATCTCTCCGACTTCCTCACCATGTGGCCTCTCCTCTCACACACATTCCTGCCATGATGCCATCTGGCAATGTAGCACAGCCAGGGGGACAGGGCACAGCAAGTACCACTCTGTCTGGACCTGCAGTCTCAAACTGTGCACTCAATAAACTTTCTTACAAAGTATTCAGCATCAGACAGCAATGGAAGATGGACTATCATATGTACCAAACACAAAGCAAACTTTAATGGTCAGACTATAACTCACCCTTGCCATATCCACCAAGAAGTTCTCAAATAACTTCCAAATGTGGTTGCTTGTGTAGATTTCTTTCATTTCCACCTCGGTGTCAACGTAACAGTGGTTAACAAAATTCACGTAGGCAATTTTAACCTGTGCAAGTTTCAAACATAGAAAGCTTTATTTGTCACTTTCAAATATCAATTATGAAAAGTTAAATAAAATCTGTTACTTCCTAGAGCAAATTAGCATATGTTTTTGCATCAAGTTACAAATCCCATTTCCCTTCTTTTACTACAGTTATCCACTCAAAAACTAAGGGTGAGCAGATGACCTGGCAGTGGACACTGGTATGAGAAAGCACATTTTGCTCAAACCAAATCTATTACACTGATACACCACAAGCCCAAAGCATGCCTCTGAATAGGTGTTGAGAGCTAAGCTACGCTTGCTATGCCAGTGCCAGTCTGACACATGGCTATTTGGCATCCAATCCAGCTCTCTGCTAATGTGTCTGGGAAAGCAGTGAATGGGAGTCCAAGTTTTTGGGACTCTTCACCCTTGTGGGAGACCTGGATGGAGCTGTGGACTTTGTCCTGGCTCAGATGGAGGTGTTGCAGTCACTTGGGGAGCAAATCAGCATATAAGAGTTACCCCTTTCTCCCTCCCCCTGCCCACCTTCTGCCTTTCAAATAAATAACTTTTTAAAACAAAGTTTTATTTTATTTTTATTGGAAAGTCAGATACACAGAGGGGAGGAGAGACAGAGAGGACTGGTTCACTCCCAAAGCGGCTACAATGGCTGGAGCTGAGCCAATCTTAAGCCAAGAGCCTAGAGCCCTTCTGGGTCTCCCACACAGGTGCAGGGTCCCAAGGCTTTGGGCCATCCTCGATTGCTTTCCCAGGCCACAAGCAGGGAGCTGGATGGAAAGCATGGTGGCCGGGATTAGAACTGGTACCCATATAGGAACCTGGTACATGCAAAGTGAGGATTTTAGCCACTAGGCTATCATATCTGGCCCAAATAAATTAAAACACACACACACACACACACACACACACACACACACACACACACACACACACTTACATGGCTACTTCTGAGGGGAAAAGAAAAACCAGGCTCATCGTTAATCAGAAGAAACAGGACTCAACAATGGAGACAGAAAAACTGCTTCCCAGAAACAGGGACATTCCTTATAAAGGGCTAGGATGCATTACAACAAGTACCATTTCCAAGTGCATAGAGTAGGTGCGTTTGGGTTTTAATTTTCTCTCATAATGTAAATCTGATAAATGTTACTATCTCAGCCCCCCCAAAACACATTTACATAAAAAACATGATAAACAACTGCCAGGAACTCAGGGACTCCTAGTGATATCCAAAAGGACAACAGGGCCAGGTTTCATGCCCTTTGAGCTTCTTAACACTTGCCGAAGGTCCAAGCCTCGCCATCAGTGCCACCTGTGCCAAGGGTGCTCACAGGGCAGCAGAACCGGAGCCATTCAGGGTGTTATCAAAATCATGCTGACAGCAACTGATGTTTAATCGGCTCATGCCATAGGCCAAACACCCTCAACATTTTGTACATCTGAAGTTATCTTAGTCCTCCAGCTCTCCTATCTGTACATACTATCATTACTGTACTTCACAACTGTGCAAACTTGTGTTTAGAAAGGTTAAGCAGGGGTGTGCTGCTAGCCTCCCATCAGACTGCCTGGGTTCAACCCATGGCTCCTGCTCCTGACTCCAGCTGTTTCTTGCTAACGCACACCGCTGGAGACACCAGCGACAGTTCCTGCCACCCACACATTGAGTAACTAGGTCCCAATGTGGCACTGGCCCAGCTCCAGTGTTGCAGTCATTTGGAGAGTGAACCAGCAACTCCTCCTCGCTCCTTCTCCCTCCCTCCCTCCCTTCCTCTCAAAAGTATTTTAAAGGAAGATTAAGTAATTTTTTGGAATCAGTCATACAGTTTGAAAACAATATAGCCAGGATTCTGATTCCTTAATTCATTTAGTCAAAAAGTTACTTATTTGACATAGTCTCAGGTTCAGAGAATATATTAATGAACAGAACCCTAGTGGTTAGCCTCCTGGAGCTCAAAATCTTCTAGAAGTGAATGAGGGATACAGACATTGGTTAACTATAAAAAATTTGAAAGCCAAACTCCAAATTCTAGACTCTCAAGGGCTTTACTGAGGGAGGCCAGAAGAAATCTGTCCTCCAGCCAGCCCTGATAAAGCAGGCGTGAAGCCGTGCACAGTATAGAGAGGAGACTCTTGGATAAGTTAGGGGACATAACAGTGAAGGAACCGCATGTAGGAAGAGGCACAGTCAGGACCATGAACTCAAATACAGGCAGAACTCAGGAAGTCCATCAGCACACCGCACCTCCCCTTTTGGGCAATCTATTTCCAACTGAGGTCTGAATCACCCTTGAATTAAGCTATCAACAATCCCACAAAATGCCACAAACACATACTCTCACTACTGGTTATAAGTAGAGAAGTCAACCTCACCTGAAACTTTTATGTCCGTGAAATGTCTGGGTTGATGTCATTGTCAGCCTCCCACACATTTATGAACTTTGAACAGTCCACCACCACAAGCAAGGGAAAGAAGAAAATGTGCATTCCCGCAAGGCTCACTGACAGACTCCAGCTGGCGGACAGCCAGCTTCTACTGAGGTTTCTTTCTCCTTCTCTTCTTTTTTTTTTTTTTCTTTTGCCATTAGATCCAAACCAGGAAAGCAGGTTCAAGAGGACAGGGGAACAAAGGAAATGGGGGTACCTATTTTCAGGAATGGATCTATTCCACAAAGCAGGGCAACCCTGAAGAGTCTAGCATGTCCCTGCAGCACCAGCGAGGCCTTTCCTATCAACAGTCATAATATAATTTTAAAGTGATGTTTTGAGTTCAAGAACATGCTAGAGATTACAAATAAACCTTTCTGCTTAATTCCTTCACTAAGTTCAGAAGGTAAGGGCCTCCCTCCAGGAATCCAACAGCAGCTGCTACTTTTAAAGAATTCACCACCTTCCACAACCTCCTGTAGAATTAAACAGCAGACCATTTGACACTCTCAAATTTTCCAAATTATAGAGATAAATACAGTTTCTTCCCAAAATACGCATGCTCATTGTAAATACCAGTAGGGGAAATTTCTGGCAATGAGGCGGGCTTCACACATTCTGGACGATTCTTCATTCACTCAGCTCTAGTTCTGCTCACCTCAGGAATGCAGTCATCATGGGTCACCACTCTCACAATGTCATCCAGCGGCAGCAAGGAATTACACTTGATTTCCGTGTAAACGTTCTTGCCCTCTGTGCACGCGGCCAGCAACTCCACAAGCGTGATGTGGTAGGCTAAGGGGCCGTTGTCATCCCCCCGGTCTCTCTCTGAGCACATCATGTGGAGAAGGACTGGAAAGGATGCTCTATCGTTGTAAAATATCAGCACGTCTTCACCGCCATTTATCAACTGGAATGATAACAAGAGAACTCCTGTAGCGCAGCCCACATGTTCATCCTTGCAGTTATCTCCACAGACCTAATCTATCTGGAAACACATGGATCTCTCTGTAAAAGCACAGATAATACTGAAAAAAAAACAGAATTATGCCAAGGCAGGGTGGTAGAGGCAGTATCATCGTGTGCCAAGTGATCAGTCATGAATGCCATCAAAACCAGCAGTGAACAGATGAAAATAGCAGAGGGAGCACGCAATGAGTGATACAGAAAACTGGTATGCACTGAAATTAAATCTGTAACAAAATAAAGGTTATTCATTGTATTTCAAATAGAAGGCTCCATGGCCATAGCACCAGAAGTTTCCCAAGTGTAATTTAACTAGAACAGAATAAATCATCCCTGGCCCTTCAACAGATACCAAGTAAGCAAGCGTCACTTTCTAAACATCTAGAAATTTCCATGTGTTATAGGAAGGGATCAGTAGGAAAAACAAACAAACCAAGAGAGAAGTGAGGAAAAGATTACTTCAAAAACAAGAGTAACCGATCACTGAGTGGGAACAGGCCTTTAGGACATAATTTTTCCTTCTTAAGTCGTTTCTGTAAATTTTAGCAGAGACCTGGAATAGTTAGGAATCGTTTCTTCAAAAGATATAATGTATTACTGTCGATCCATGATCAGTGCCAACTTTCTCACCCTAATGGAGGTATTCTGGAGAGGAATGGAGGATACATAATTTTTTTCCGTTAAGTTCACAGAGCAACTAATCAGCTGCAAGAGTTTTCTTGAAAAAGGAAATGTACCTGACACAAACCTCGATTATATATTGGCATAATACATTTCAGGCATGTCTTTATAGATGAAACACTTTCTCTGCTGAGCGTAACAATTGCCTTCATCACTACTGTTGGTTTCCCATTTTACCTCCTCTGCTTGGTATAGGATTGGCCCCCACTCCTCTGGACAGTGGAGAATTAACATGGATATAAATGTGGATAAGAGGAAGGTATACCACACAAGACCGAAAAAAAGAAAAAACAGTTCCTTGACATTTCTATTAATAGTGATTTACACAGAAAAATAAAACACTTCAAGATACATTGATTGAAATGTTTCCATGTGGCAGGAGGGTCTCATATTAAATCAACATGGAAGTATCTCCCATTTCCAAATTCTAAGGACGTATGAAAGGCCCCAGACTGACACAGCCCACTGTGAACTCTCTGTAGCAGGCTTGGGAGTTGCCTTAAGCCACAGAGGCCACCAGACCCCACAGAGAGCAGTGACGTAGCCCTGGGGGCACTTGGAGCTGCCAGTTCCCCAGCAGCACCCACAGACTTCCTAGTGAGGTCCTTTCCAGTCACTTAAGTCTCCCTCTGGGTCAGACACCACAAAAGGCAAAAGCAGGACTTCAGCCATGGGTGTTTCTTAAAAATCCCAACCACTCAAACCAGCAAGTCCTCTTACAGTGCAATATGTTGTTGACAAGTCATTTTTATTAACCGGCTTTACTCTCATCAGAGCTTTCTGCCAACAGTGATGGACAGCAGCCATCCAAAACTCAAGAAACAGCAAGAAAGGCCTTGGTAAAGCAGAGTTCCATCGGTCATTGTTGTATTACTAAAATCTAAATATACAGATCTCTGTCACTTCCATTCCCAATAACTATAAAACCACAAGATTTTACATGGTTTTTAACAAGCACAAATTTATTAAGTATCAAAAAAGCAAAACAAACTAGAAAATCATGAAACCAACTTAGTTCATATGTTGCTTTAGGAAGATATATTTTTGGTTATGTAGCGTTTGATTTAACTCAGTAACTTCCCAGACCTATGTTATTGGAGTTTCTTTTCCCATCTTGGTTAGTTAACATAAATTATGTGTCTAAGCATCTTATTTAGGGGAAACTGATAAAATACAAACCTAGAACATACCTCTGTCATTACCATGTCCTGGCATTTCTTCACATATTTGCCATCTGCCTTCACAATGGTCTGCAAGAACCTCAAGTACTCCACATGGCGGCCATGTGTCTCGATGCAGTGCACAAAGTGTTGCACAACCCTCTCGCTGATTTCATTGCACAGATGGTAATTGTTCATGAAGATGTGCCGCATGGTTTCTGCTTCAAGGAGCTAAATGGAGGAGCATGCTCTTAGAACAATCACAAGAACAATTTTCCATTCAACAGGACTCAGCCTAATCTCCTCGCCTGTGATTGGTTTCATATTGTATACAAAGTCATAGCGAATTTTCTGCCCACATCTCGCATAAAACGCAATGAGATCATTCCGCATTCAAAGAAAACTGAAATTACAAAGAACTCTGGTTGAAGAAAAGAGCTTGTTATCATGCAGCATGAAGTGTTGGCAAAAGCCTTCTTGAAATTAATTTATTATCCAAAGTTAGCTCTTCTTAAAGAGCTGAGTAAGCATTTATAAAGGCTGGAGTTAACTCCACCTTTGAGTTTTCCATATGTATTTTACTCACACTATTTTGTAGCTGGTTCTTAATTCTGTCACATCTTTTTACCAACACTAAACTGCATACATAAAAGTGAAAGTATAGACATATAGAAATCAGATAATTTTTAAAAATTCCCTAAGTTTCCTTAGTAGAAATGAAAGAGACTCATGGTTAGGGAGAAAATGTATGAGAAAAAGAAATGAGATGCCAAAAATTAATAAAGTTCTATTCATTAATGCTGCTAAAATCACCTAGATGTACACACTACACTAAATATTAGGGCTCACTAAAATACATACCCCAGGAGTCAAAAACAGATTCAGATGTTTATGAAGAAGAACTTGATTCTGTGGATTTCCTCGGCAGAAATTCTGCAAGAAGGTGTGGGCCAGATTCATGACTTCGTTCATCTTCTCGTCAGACTGGAAGAAAAGCAGCAGCCTGTCACACAGTGAAACCCAGGCAGCAGCACACGCCCTGGAAGCAGGCCCTCACCCCACCTGCCCTGCCTCTGTGCCCTTCGTGAGTATGAGGTTCCTCTCTATGTCCTGGTCTTTCCCACCCCCTATTTTTCTGCCTCTGTTCTAAGACCCAAGCCTATCTCCTTCTCAGTCCTTCCCTGCATCTACTCCATGTGTCCTCTGGACTCACTCTGCCTTCTTTCTGCCACTCCCCATGGCCTCTCTGTCCCTCTCCCCCACTCCATGCTCCCTCACTTCCCTCTCTGCTGGGCCCTTCAGTCCCCCGGCTTCTTCCCCTCTCTCTTCCAGCATCTGTCTGTTGCTTTGACTTTTTCTTTCTTTTCCTTTCCCAGTTCTACCCTTTCTTCTCACACCTTTTCATTCTCATGTTCCGCTACTATCTCTCCTACTCTCTGCTCTCCTGTCTCCCCTGTCCTGATCCAGCCCTCCCACTCCCTGCACCCATCTCTCTCTGTGAACTGTCCAGTGGACACAGATTTTCACCTCGTCTCCCTATTGACTTATTCTCTCAATTCCACTTCTTTCCTCTTCATTTCCTCTGTTTTCTTCCTACTCTTTCTCAATTTTTCTTTGTTCTCATTTATTTGAAAGACACAGAGTGAGCCAAACAGAGAGAGCCCATCCACCTCACGGTTCTCCCTCCACAGCTGGGGCTGGACCAGCCTGCAGCAGGAGGCAGGAATTCAACCCAGACCTCCCACATGAGCGGTAGGGGCTCAGGCACTTGAGCCATCACCTGCTGCCTGCCAGGGGCCACATCAGCACGAAGCTGGACTCAGAAGCAGAGTTGGGGGTCTGGAACCCAAGCGGACTGATTGGCAATGCAGGCATCCCAAGTGATATCCTCACTGCTGGACCAAACTCCCCAGCCACACCTTTCTTAAACACTGCTGTGTTTTTCTCTCTACTCGCTTTCATGTTCCAAAGACCCCTAGCAAGTTTTTATCGATTGACTTTTAGGAATCTCAAGGAGAAACTGAAACCTCAGAAGTTTTCTTCATTAACGTCGTCTTCTGACAAGACCAATACAGCCACCCAACATTTCCTGTATGGTTGATCCTCCCATTTGTCATCATTGTTAAGAGATTTTAAAGGGATTCTTGTTTTAAGCAATGGTTTATATTAAACCACACACACACACACACACACACACACACACACACACACACACACGCCTATCCCCTCGAGCTGTTGGTTGGAAGGCACTGGCAGGGCACCTTCTCGTAGCCAGAGCACACTGTGTTCTCAGAACGTGGCTGCTAAGTGCCAATTGCCATCAAAAAGGACCCAGGCATCTTGAAGACAGAGCTGGTACCAGGGTTGCAGCCACAAGAAAAGGAGAAAAGCCTGGAATGCCACACTGTGCCAGAGATCAGGGCAGGACTCAGAGGATGCCAGGGCAATGTTTCAGCCCAGAGCCTCACTGGAAGGGGCTCTGCTGGCCATATGTGGGCTAATCTGACAGTCACAGGAAATCATTGCAGAGACTTGCTATAACCTGCTGACTGAAATAAGCATAGTGAACAAAATAAACAAACGGATGGATTGACATCTGAAGAAGAAACGGGTATTTCTAACTTTCACAGTAACTCATTATATCGTGAAGAATTCTGGCAGCCAGCACCTTAATCAAGGGGTCCAAGGGAATGCTATGGAGGAGAGGACAATCAAAAGCACGAGCATCCTACAAGGAAGCCATCATGTCCCAGAACAGACATGGCACCGAGCAACGCCAAGTCTGCAGTGGACCCTGGCTCAAACAGGACATAGCTGGCATGATGCAGGAAACCGGGATGGCATGTGGGACCAGCACACCTTTTCCGTGTAGGTATACAAAAGTACGTTCATACTTGCAGGAAATCAACATTAACTTCAGTTCAGGGCTAAGGGAGCGTGCCAAGGAGGCCTTACACTGAAGTAAAAAGAAAGAAAAAAAAATCTGCGCCTTTGTTATATAATTGCACCAAAATAAAGCATTCAAGAAAAGGGGCGGTCGGGACGCACCTTCTCATAGGGTATCTGCAGAAGGTCCAGCACCACCGAGTGAGCCCCCATGTTCTTCAGTAAGCGCTGATGCTGGTTCCGACACTTCTTATTCTGCACACAGAGTTTACTCAGCCTAATCAAAATCTTTAGAAAGAAGAAACACGTTAAATGTAACAAGTGGCAACATTAAATACAGAGAAAAAACTATTTGTTGTACCAATCTATACAAATCCATGTTGTTGAGAAACACTGGATTTCCTACCTACTACTATCTTAATTCTTCACTTAGTGGAGGGCTATGCTTGTGATTATAAAGTCATCAAAAAGTATGTTATTGTAAAACTCAAAAGAAAAACACAAAAGGACAGAGACTCAAGGGTGGGAACGAAGGAGGGAGAAAGGAGAAGAAGGTTGGGTGGGAAGTATCATTATGCTCTTAAAACTGAACACATGAAATACCTAAATAAATTTGATAAGAAGAAAAAAAAGCAAAATATATGAAATAATAAATAAATTAAATACATTTTGTTTTCACTGACCTCCTTAACAACCCGGTAGTTGTTACACTTATTGCTGTCAATCTGAGGTTTCTTTGTTCCATCCTGCACAGGGCTTAAGATGTTGGACTCCTAAAATGAATAAAAACCAATTTTATGTCATAAGTACTTCTGCAGTAAGCTTTAGCTTATAATAGGTAACAGGATCCATAGTCCTTCGTAATAAATTCATTATTCAATCTAATTGCTTTGTTTGTCGCCACTTGAGGCATGTACAGAGTCAAAAAAATGAAGGGAAAAAGAGAAAAACTTTAACACTTTTTTTTTTAAAGATTTATTTTATTTTTATTGCAAAGTCAGACATATACAGAGAAGGAGGAGAGACAGAGAGGAAGATCTTCCATCCGATGATTCACTCCCCAAGTGAGTGCAAAGGCCAGTGCTGCGCCGATCCAAAGCCAGGAGCCGGGAACTTCTTCCAGGTCTCCCATGTGGGTGCAGGAACCCAAGGCTTTGGGCTGTCCTCCACCACCCTCCCAGGAAGCTGGGAGGAAGCTGGATGGGAACTGGAGCTGCTGGGATTAGAACCGGTGCCCATATGGGATCCCGGCGCTTTCATGGCGAGGACTTTTGCTAGGCCACACCGCCAGGCCGTACTATAACATTTTCGATGACCAAATTATAAAAGTTTGCTAAGACCTACACCACCACCAATACTCACTAACACAACCATCATCTGTAGATCACCATCAAAAGCGAACACATTTTTAAAATATCAGATACTGCAGCCATAATATGAAGCCACCAATTACCAACATTTTCAATTAGAACATTTACTAAGGCTTAATAAACATCTGGTGCTACACCATGATGAGTGGGTCTAAAAGAAATTGAAGATGTGGTCCCTCTCATTAAGAACATTACAATCTACTTGGAAAATTAAGGAAGGAAACATGAAAATAAAGATTGGAACTGTGCAGAGTTCAATTCCCAGAGAGAGAACAGCTACAGCTTTACACAGCTTCATGTGAAGGAGATCAGCTCTAAACCAAGGTCTCCAAAGCTGAAAAAAAAAAGAACAAAAGACACAATCTGAGCAGGACAGGTTTGTCAGGTGAGCAGTCTGCCACTTAGCTGTGCTACAGCGAGGACTAGTGCACTGGGGCGGGCACTGGGTGCAGCGGTTCCAGTACAGCTGGGATTGCCAGCCCCCATTTCAGAGTGTCGGGATTCAGTCTCAGCTCTACGTGTTATGAAGCTTCATGGTCAGCACACCCTGAGAAGCAGCAGCAGATGGCCCCAATCTTCCCCACGGTCCCTACCAACCATGTAAGAAACCCACACTGAGTGCCTGACTCCTCCTCCACTCAGTGTGGCTCAACCCTGGCTGCTATAGGCATCTGGAGAGTGAATCCCCTCTGCCTGCCTTGCTGCCTCCCTCTCCATCTCTGTCTCTAATAAAATTTAAAGCAGAAAATAAACAAGACAGCATGCAGAAGGCAGTGCAAAGTTACAAAGCACGCCTCCAGACTAGTCAGTGGCATGGCAAGGGGCCTGAGAGTTTCCTGATTTATGACAGCTATAAGATTGAACTTGCGATGAACGTCAAGTTCAGCTTGGGTCAACAACATTCTGCCCACTATATGATTAATGTGGGCTCTCATCATCAAAGGGGATCCCAGTACAGGCTCAAAAAAAATTCAAAAAGATACATGAGGCCAATCAACATAATATTCACTGGTCCCAAGCTGTTTTTCCAGTTCAAGTCACAAAATCAATGTCAAAAAAAAAAAAAATTGATAACTTGCAGAACAGTTCTGATGAAAGATGCCAGGCTACACAGCACCTTGGTCAATTTGGAGCCAGTTCCACATCCTTGTTTTACTTCTTTCCCATCAACTGCTGTCTGCAGTCTGAACTCTACCTTACAGGTGGTCACTCCCATTTCCTCAGCTGATGCAATGTCTCCTCCATGACACTCTCTCTTTTCCCACAAAGTTTCCAGTATCATCCACAAACTACCCCCTAGGTCTGAGAACAAAACTTCTGATGCATGGACTTTGTCACTCCTACCTTCCCTGCCTCCTCTTTTTTTCACTCTGATTTCTTTTATACAAGTTGTTTCTACTTTCTACTGACTCTCTGTTCCCTTTACAAATGTGGAAGGTTGAGACTACGCCAGCACTGCCTTTCCTGGGAAATCATCTTGGCATCTCATATTATTGCTCCCATTGATGGATGACCTCAAAAAGAGAATCCACACCACACTCTACTCAAAGTGTTCATGTGCCAACATATCACCACCACCCAAACTTTCTTCAGTGTCTGACTTTTCAACTAAACCACTTTCTACAGTTGTATGCTGACATGGCACTCTTCAAGGTGACCTCTTCCTTTTAGCTCCCCCAGGTCTCATTCAACAGAACTGAAAGTACTAGATATCCACATCAAGCACCTTCCCTCAATACAACCTTGTTGGTTTTCAGGGCTGCTGCAGCACACGCCAATTATACTAAATACTAGGAGGAAAAGGAAAGCCATTCAGCCTCCAAGCCAGAGAATAAAGAGGAAGAGAATCCTCCAAAGTTACAGAAGAAAGTGCTAACCCCATCTGCAAGGGAAGCCAGTGGAGAAGAGGAAAGGCAGTGAGGTCCATGGAAGCCACAGAGACAGAAGGAGATAGGAGACCTGAGGATGAGACAAACCAGGTTGCTCTTGGGGAGCAAAAACAAGTTATTGATGGAGAAGGAGAAATCACAAAAACTGGAGGTATAATTGTTTCCTTTTTCTGATCACAAAGGTGAAGTTTGAATTTCTGAGAGGCCATTTTATGTTTTCTGGGAGAGGAGAAATATCAAAGTCAAGCAAGTGTGTACCACAAACCAGGCCTAAGCCATTATACTGAATCTCAAGGTTGACACAGTCCTTTTCGCAGAAAGACCTTTCTGATGTGAGTCAGCTTTAAAGGAAGCAGTGAAAAATACAGACACAGGGAAGTCTGTTTTTCTAACAACCACCAGAAGGAGAAGCCACTATCTTTTAGGAAAAGTAATCTAGGGCTAAATGTGTGACATTACAAAAAAAGTAGGCTCTTCAGTTCAACCCAGAAGATAGAAAGGTAAATGCTATAAATGGAAATTACAGAGAACAATGAGTTTAACTTAAACAGGCCAGCAGTCAAAAGGAGGCAACTCCAGCAAATTCAATTTAAGAAAAAAAGCTGAATTTCAGAAAGTGATTCAATGGAATTGGATTTAGTACAAGTAGTAATCCACAGGACATCTGGATGATTCCAAAGTATTGACCAAGGGAACTGAAGTAACACATAAACCATGTAAATACACTCAGGTTCTGTCTCCTTACTTTGATACCAGAAAGTTCTAAACAAAAGTCTTGCAAGAGATTTCCTCTATGAAGAGCAGAAAATGTATTTGTTAGACCCTTTTTAAGTTTAAAATAGTGCAAAAGGTAGAAATAGGACTTACACAGAGATCCAGAACTGAGCAAGACCTTGGGGAGAGAAGGTTCAAATGAGAGCAACGACTTGCTTATACTTAACTGTAATTGCTTCCTATCACTTGGACAGCCCAACTTTATTTCCCCCAATGGACAACCAGAAGCAGCTTAGTTCAGTGATATTACAAAGAGAACTACATTTTTAATCACACAGTACATATCATAACACAAAACAGCAGCAAGTTAGAAACAAGATACCAAACTGAGTCTAGAAATTAGGTGAGCAGAGGAGGCTAGGTAGACCTACAAAGAGTAAACACAGGTCTAAATATAGCTATCTTCCACCCCTCCACCCCCAACTTGCTTTCTTTTGCTTTATGGCATACAAGGACATTCTTTCATACCCATATCAAAAATTATGCAAGAAAATAATATCATCATCAAAGTAACACGGAAAGTAAATATTGGCACCAATTACTGAGGACCCAGTTCTTTAATTTAAGCAAGGACAACTGTGCTTTAAAAATAGAACTTTCCAAATCCTAGCATGTAGAGTTGCCTGCAACTGCAGCTGTATGACTAAAATAGCTTAGTGCATGCCTTCTCCGTAGTATCACCACCAGCCGGAGCCTACCCAAGTCCTTCCTCAGCAAGTCTGGCGAGTCAGCCAGCCAGCACAGCATCGCTCACCATCTGTGCCCTTGACCCAACTCCTCAACCCCACTGGGGGTGGCAGGCACCAACTCTCTAATTTCAGGGGTTACATGCCTTCCTCCTCTCTTCCTCCAAAACACCAGACAAACCATCTAAAGAAAGCTACTTGGGACAGCAGTTAAAATGCCATTTTGGAACATCTGCATCACATACTGTTGTCTCTGGGTTCGAGTTCCAGCTCAGTGCACATTTCCAGCTCCCTGCTAATATGCACTCTGGAAGGTAGCATATGATGGCTTAAAAATTCGAGTTCCTGCCACCCACTTGGGAAACCTAGGTTGTGTTCCTACATGCTGGTTTGGGCCTGGTCCAGCTCTAATTATTGCGAGTATTCGGAAAGTAAAGCAGTGGAGAGCAGATATTCTCATCCAATCATATTCATATACTTTCTCTCTCTCTCTCTCTCTCTCTCTCTCTCTCTCTCTCTCTGTCTTCTCTCTTTCCCCTTCCCCTTTCTTACTATCTCTCCCTTGTGCTGCTTTTTAAATAGGTGGGAGCAGGGGAACAAATGGAAAATTAAAGAGTAGCGTAATAACTACTTACAACCAAAAGGAAAATCCTAGGTTCATAGCAAAACAATTTAAATTTCTTAAAAAGGCTATAATAAGGGAAAACATTCTTACAGTGAAAGTAGTCCAAATCTGAAATTCAGAAAGCAGAACATTAGATTTAAGAATATGTATCTACTATTGGCCACCAAGGGCCAGCAGGTTAAGCTACCATCTGGACACTAGCATATCTTAATAGTGCCAGTTTGAGTCCCAGCTGCTCCACTTCCAATTCAGCTCTCTGGAATGCACCAGAATACGGCCTAAGGACTTGGTCTCCTACCACCCAAGTGGGAGACCCTGCTGGAATTCCAGGTTCCTGACTCTGGCTGGGCCCAGCCCCGGTTGTTGCAATCATTCCAGAAGTAAATAAGTGGAAAGAAAATCTCTCTATATAGATTTTTTCCTTGCTGT